GGAAAAAGAATCAAATTCAAAAGTAAGTATTGGTCGTCGAGGTCGATCACTGAGAAGATCACTCAAAACGGAAGCCCAAGGTAGAGTAATATATGTGAGATATGCATTCAATGGAGTACATTCGGCTCTTTTCTTTTCGCGCAACCAATGCCATGCCTGACCGAAGCCTCGCACAGACCTGAAAGCTCCTTATCACTCTCTTCAGTAGCAATTCAATCTTACCATAATCGACTCAAAACACCTTCTTCTAATTCATCATCAATTGAAGATGCTTCTACCTAAAAGTGATCATTTTTAATCAATTATTTTCTCACGTACTTCTGGATATTGTCCAGCTGTATCAGCTTCACTTTGCCATCGCCGACCTCTTGGAAGTGTCCCCACTCCACTCGGAGTCATTGCCGCTCGTCCGCCTGTTTTTTGAGAACGATTATTTTTAAATGTCATTTTGTTTTCTTACCCATTGGTCCATTTCCAACTCCAGCTATGTTTTGTTCACTTAAGCGTCGTTTTCCCAATGCTGACTCAAATTGTGAAAGATCGGGAAAATCAATTTGAGAGCGTTCTGTTTGTGGTGTCTCTAATCCACAACCGGGTACTCGAGCTACTGCCATTTCAGCGTATCCCTACATTGTTTCAATTAATTTTAGCTTTTTTTCCTTCACTTTTCCCCGTGGACCTCTCATTCGCACAAATTCGCGTCTTCTTTTATCGTCTTTGACAAGTCGTTGAGCCCATCCCCAAGTAGACGAAGCTTTTGCGTCATAGACCTAAAGATAGCATATTTATCTACTATATATATAAAGGGACTAAGACGTATGTCTATCTGTGCGCACTACTCCTCCGCGCCCAGTCCAGTGATTTACAGTTAGTTTGACTTAGAATTTCATGTAGTTGTGCAACATGTTTTAAATTTTTAAAAACCAAAAGTGCCGACGCGCGCGGGAGTCGAACCCGGGTCGTGTGGACTAGGGATAAGGCGCTCTCACTGCGCCATCTACCAGAGTATGTACTGGTCGAGTGGCTAGGGCGCACGTCTCTCAAACGAACGGAAGATAGAGGTCGCGGGTTGGTCTTCTCTCGCCGCCCATTCTTTTGATTTTTGCTGCAAAGCCGCAGCGAAGCTTCTTGTTATATAATACACGTGTATAAAATGGAAAAAAAATAAAAACAAGTATAAGGAGGGGCACCTGTTTTAAAACTTCATATCTGATTGAACCGAGAAAAGTGACGGATTCTCGGGTACGTTGTCGATCTCGTACCACTAATTCCACACAAACACACTCTCCATCTCTTACAATAATATCGTTGAATACCTTAACTTTTCATTTAACTATTATATCACTTAATCTAACCTCCTCAAATCCATCAATAGCAAAATATATCTTTGGATACGTGATCTCTTCTGCTTCTCCTTTACTGTCCATTCGTCTTCGTGAAGGTGATGGATAAACCTGGAAAGCTTGTTTAAAACTTTCAAGCATTTTTCAACCTTTTGACAATTTTTCCGAATAATTTGTAAATTTTGTGGTGCGGTTTTTGTGCAGACGGCACAAGTAACAAAAAAATCCAGCTGTTGAAGAATGAGATTTAGGCAAACCTGAATATTATTTAGTTTTTAAATGTTTTTTCCAACTTACTGTTTCTTCCCAATTTACATTCGAATCACAAGGAGCTGGCTGCTTTTTGCTTTGTCGTCGAAAGACTTGCAATTGTGGAGCAGAACCCAAATGGAATGACGTGTTGATCTTCTGCATGGGAACATACCTAAACAAATATGTTTTTTTACTTTGCTGATTAAACTGAATGAGTGTTTAATCAATACCATATCATATCATCTCCAAGAGCGGTACAAGTTGATGCTTGACAATAAGCAGAACCAAGAATGAACTCCATGAATAGTTTTGCCCATCTGATCTCCATGTTGTGAATCATCCTAGATAAACTAGATCTTATCATTTTTGTTATTTTGGCAGTTACGTAAAATCATCGGCATTTGTTGTACTTTCTTTTCTCAAGTGTTCCACACGTCGCAGAAGTTCCGATACACAAGTACATCGGCCTGGAAACGTAACCGTGTTGTAACAAACAATTTGTTTTTACTGAATGGACATGTAAGAGTATTGTAAGATACTAGATATGGAAATTTTTGAAGATTCAAACCTTTAGTCGTAGTAGACGCCGTAGCTTCCATAAAAAAAGATCTGAAATGAAATATGAAACAAAAACGAAAATTCGATATTCATGTGATCAATATAAGTGATAGCGTAAGATGATAACACATCTTTGTTTACTGACACACAAAGTTTAAGACTTTATACACATGTTTCAAAAATCTCATGAGGCACGTTTCGTCATTGTGTTGTAAAAATCTTCAAAAATCGTCCCTTTTCGAATTGTTTCTCTGAAAATAAAAATTAGTTCTAGTGAATTGTTTGTGTAAATAAACTTTCTTCGAGAGACAAATTCAGAGCCGCATTTTGAACGTTTTTGATGTAAGCCACCAGTTGATCAGGCGCCAATCGACCAAGTTCTAAAATTCTGAAAGGTCTGGTTACCATGAAAGTTGAAAGGTGAGACATGCATATGGCTAATTCAATCACAATTAAATCCATAGTCTTTGTCTACTTACCTATGTGTAGTTGCATTATGTAATGTGATATGAATGTCAGGACTTACCATTGACTAATTTTATATCATCAGAAGCCAATTCTGTTCGAATTCTGTTAACTTGTTTTGGTTCTGAATGCAACTTCTAAAAAATTCGTTTTGTTTTTCAAATTGAGGTAAATTTTTTCTACCTCTTTTCCTCGAGAAAACGAAGATAAGCCGGGAAGATCAGCTATTGTTTCTTGTTCATCATTTCTGAGTTGCTCTTGACAAAAATACGAGCTTGTCGCTTGAGTATCGTCAATCTGCAAATTATTTTCATAAGTTATGAGAATTTTTGCTGTTACCTGTGATTTGGAGAAGGGTAGAACTCTGAAAGGAGGTTGAGAAGCAGTTATCAATTCTAAACGTTATTATATGTACATATGTTGTGATTTGTTGTTCTGAAATGATTTGTTCTATTCAAAAATAGCCAAATTTTGAAAAAGTTTGTTTTACTTGTACATTTGTTGGATGTAATTTGATTACGAAAAACAATCAAATTCCATTCAGACCGCTTGAAGTTTAAAGAACATTTGGGACATTTTTGGCTTTTTGGCTTTTTGGCGGCCACACTTAAATGCAAATTGATACAGCAAATGTAGAGTGGCCGCCAAAAAAAGTCGCAAATATCACAAACATTTTTCAAAAGAGAAGCGAAATTATATGATAAATCCAGTAATCGGGAATTTTATGTAAATATCTAATAAAACCTACCGGATGAACTTTGAAAAGGAGGATCGAGCACGGAAATTTTCACTCCCCCACGACTTTGTGCTTGCGTTTGGCTGGACATTCCTTTAGTATGAATATTTTATTCAAAAGATGAATAGTTCCAAAAAGTTAGTATGGTCTGCGTAACAAACCCTTTACTACACCGAAAAATTGATCCATTCTCTTACTAAACAGTCCAGATTACATGATTACGCTCATTTCGTGTATTCTGTAGCGTTGTGTACAGTGGTGGAAAAAAAGTATTGGGTCCCCTAGACTGTTTTTACTTCTTGCTTCAAAAAAATTTCTATGGAAAGTTTTTAAAATACGTTCTAAATTTCTAAGACTAGAAGAACTAAGCTTCGTAATGTTATAAAAACTTTTAAATTGCAAAGTTTATTTAACGAGAAAAAAACATATGTACACAATATTTGCAAAAGCCGGCGGAAAAAGTATTGAGCCCCTGTCGAAAAATGAAGAATTCCATATTTTGTTGGACCCTCTCGGGCTTTAACGATCGCCTCCATTCGTTTCGGCATGCTTTCAACTAGTTTCTCGAGTGTCGGCACTGGGATCGACTTCCAAATTTCTTGTACTTTATCCCAAAGCTCATCTTTTGAGGTATTTCGATATCCTCGTTTTACATGGGCCCACAAATGTTCAATCGGATCGCAATCAGGAGAATATGGCGGTGTCTGCAGAAGAAAAACATCATTGATGCAAAACAACACGGAAAGACGCCCTAAACGGTACCCGGAAACCTCCACTTTCCAGTTCATCATCGATTAACTTTGGAAGTTTTGGGTCGCTATTCTACTGGAATAGTCGTTCAGGCCCCATATTTGTATGAATATAAGTAGATACTCAATCCTTTAATATTGCAGCATATCTAGATCTATCCGTGAATATTTTGGTCCGAGCGAGAGGCTTTAATGGATTCGTGGCAATGAGTCAGCATGTGGCACTTCCAGCAGACGCATTCTGTAAAATGGCGCTGTTCAAATCCAATTTTTTGGTGTAGATAAGCTTTTTGTGATTAAACAAATTATCAAAATACAAAACCTACTAAAAAAATTTGCCCAACAGCCAACGTTCAGTGGATAAAGTGTTATGTGATAAAAGCCTCTATTTGGAAGTTTTCTTTTAATGTGCACGGTATTACAAGGCGGGCGATTTTGCAAGAAAATTTAGTATTTTATTTCAAAAAATTATATGTATCATGTAGTTGAACTACGGTAGGTTTTGCCATGGAAATCCTCTCTTTAACTTCTCATAGTATTTAACGAAGGAATTTGACAAAATTCGCCCACAGCGGCGCTGTTATGGAAGTGTTCCTTGTTTTCTCTGCCAATTTCTTCTTCAAGGATATGTTTTGCTTTATGCACATGTTTTGTAATTTGAACTTTCTTGCGTTAAGTGACGTCTTTTGGTGTCTCTCGTAGTCATAGCGTCTAGGTTCAATCGCGCTTTTCACTTTACTGTACTCCTTTTCTCTTGTCGAACCTGAGTCACTGCATTGTTTGTCAAACTATGTGCTAATGTTGTTTTCCAATGGGTATTTAATCGTCAAGCCGCTTTACCATCACCCACAATTAGCTTTTTTAAATCTCAAAATTTAGTTTTCACAATTTGGCACGATGGACCGGGAATCTTTTCTGAAAGATCAAGTAACACATTTGTTTAAAAAAATTAAAATTTATCTTTTTAGCTAGAAGCTGTTCAAAAGGCGTTGACGAAGTACGAAATGCCTCTTAAGCCGAAACACGCTCGTAGACTTATCCTTGGAACTCATCGAGAAAAAATGCCGGTATTTTTATTGGAATTACATTTTCTAATCTCTAGTCTAGCCGTTTTCTGGAATGCAGTAAACCGAATGCAATTGGAGAAGAATCCTGTAATTTCTTGGAAGTTTTGTCACTTGCTGCATAAGCTTTTGAGAGATGGACACCGGAAAGTTCCAGAAGATTCATATAGGTAGAATGATTTATTGAAAAGAGAAATTAGGTAAGTACTTTAGGTTTATGAAGCGAGTCGGTATGCTTTCACAGTTTTGGAAACATTTGCCTGGCTATGGCGGTTGCATTGAACAATATTGCAAATTACTTGTGGAACGACTGGAGTTTCATAAAAGAGTATGCTTTTTAGTAAATTAGCAATATATGAAGCTTTTTCAGAATCCCATCGTGCCCGGAAGCCTTCAGCTGCCAGAAAATCAAATTACGGCGTTGGATTTGGATTCTTCTTTTGCTCTGTCTATTGAAATGTTAGATCAAATGGATAATTTGCTGGAACTACAGAATCGAGGTTGGTTATGGGAGTATTATGGTTAATCTTTGAGTTATTTTTCATTTAGTGTTTGACAATCTCGAAGCATTACGTTGGTCTTCACTTGTTCCACAAGGGCAATGTTTGTTAGCTCCGTTGATTCTCTGCATTTTGGATACATCAAAGCTGTACGATTACCTTGTGAAGGTTAACGATTGCTTTGTAATTTTTTCAAAACGGATTTTAGATAATTTTTAAATTACATGCGCAAATACCAGCCGATGCGTTGATTGGACATAGGGATCGATTCAAGGTTTTACTAATAGCCAAAAGTACCTTTACAAATAATATTTAGGATATCTTTCGAAGGACCAAAAAGTTCTACGAGGAGTCATCAAATCTGCAGTACTTTAAATACCTTGTCTCGATTCCGACGCTTCCAAATGTAATTTTTCTAAATTTTGCAACATAAATTTGCTTTTAGGCACCTCCAAACTTCTTAAGTGCCAGTGATTTGGATTCTTACAGAACACCACATGCTTATCTTCATGGGGAAGGCAGCGAAGGAGACGACAGGTTGCGTTTAATCATAATACATTGCTAAAACAGCAAATAGAATCGTAGCTATATTTTCAAAGTAATTTATCTTTAGGTCTGTCGCAGAAGTGACTGAGGAGTCGTTGGTAGATCTTTACGAGGAAAGCGCGCACATTCAATCGCAGCCATCACCTACACCAACAGTTTCAGAAAGGTTTTTATTATGATTTTAAAAGAAAATTTCCGTTTAGAGATGAACAAATGCTAGGATTACAACGAGCATTGGAAGATGAACGTTTTGCAAAAGAACGGTTGATTGCTGAAGCTAGGTGAGTTTTTACTAACGATCATCAAAAAAAGATTAAGATCACGAATTGAACAATATGAAAATCGGTTAGCACAAATCCAAGGAGACTTTGAACATGCTAGGCGAGAAGCTGATGAAAACAAAGAAGAACTGGATCGAGTGAAAGGTATTCTTGCCATTTTATGATAACGCCATTTTATTGTAGCAGAACTGATGACACGGGACACGCAACGTGCGTTGAGCGAAGACGCACGAGTTCGGGAAATTGAGGGCAGAACAGTGCTTGCTGAAGATCGATTTGCTAAGATGAAAGCTGTCTATGAGCGTTTCCGAGCAGAGCATGTTACGGTAAAAAAAAACTTCTATTGGATTTTGAGTCTTAAAAATTTAGGCTCTGCAAAAGCTCAGTGAGTTGCAGAAACAGCTAGAAACAAGCGAAAAGGACAGAATGGACAAGGAGCAAGAACTAAGGTTTTGAAAAAGTTTGATAAATACGTTTTTAATTTCAGAGAACTGCGGAGAAATCTTGAAAGTGCGGAAAAACAACAAAGTGCTCTCGACGACTCTCGTTTTTTGGCTGATGATCTTCGTTCTCAACTAGCAAAGGCCGATCTTCAAATGGAACAACTACAAAAAGTGCTTGAAACATTCAATACAATCCTGTTCATGTAAACCTCAGGAATTATCGGAAACACAGCGCGAAAACTTGAAGAAATTAGAAGACCAGCGGAAGTCGGCTTTACAGCTTTGTGTTGTTGGCATAAAGAAGATGCTGGAGAAGGGCCTCGAGGATATAAACAATGCCACTACGATAACATTCCCTCCACGTTCGTTACAAAGTAATGATGGATAATTGGTTTTTTAGATTTGGCATTGGCTGATTTAAGCCACTGCAGAGGTGTTCTGGAAAGTTTGACGAACCAGGGAAATCTAGAAGCCCTGACTTTTTCGGGTTTGTTGAACTTCTTTTGCAATATTTTATTATTATACATTGTGCTTAGGTCATTGTGTCTCGACCGCTGTTGTAAACTGCGCATCTGCAGCTTATACCGCTTCCATTCAACACTTCGATCGTATGTTCTTCCTAAGTTAACAAAATATCTGCTTTCTAGATATTAATGAGCTATGCAAAGAAATCCTTTCTGTTTCTCTCAATGCTTATCAGAATTGGAACTTTTTTGAGTTAAAGGTTTGTTATTAATAAGTTTCAAAAATAAATGGCATTCAGAGTTTGATTGATAAACTACTCGGCGCTATCACAAACTTACCGGTTCAAAATGATGTCGATAAAGTTTGTCATACTTTTTAACAGATTATTTCAAATTTTAGGAAAAGGTTGGTAGTGAAGTGGACCTTGAAATGCGACGGATGGATGAAGCAATTCGATTGGCTGTAGAGAAAATAGAAGAAATCCAAAGAAGAGCCCGTCAAAGTTCGGATGGCATAAGGTTTTGTTTAAAAGCGACCCCTTCGCAAACGGAGAGTCATTTAGGTATCTATTATTTTAGGCTGGAAGTCAACGAAGCTATTTTGGGATGTTGCCAGCAATTAATGAATGCAATCATGATTCTAGTATCACGAAGCCGCGAATTGCAAGAAGAAATTGTTGCCGCGGGCAGGTTTTTGAGCGAGAAAGGCATATGAAAACGATGACTTAAGGGGTGGAGCTAGTCCAGCAGAGTTCTATAAACGCAATCATCAATGGACTGAGGTTTACTAAGCAATCATTTTTAAAAATCATTTATGTTAAGGGTTTGCTTTCTGCCGCGAAAGCTGTTGGGGTTGCTGCTCGAGTACTTGTCACGGCAGCCGATGAGGCGGTGAGCTATCTACTAATGATGATTTCTGGTGTCTTTAAAGTAACTTATTTCAACTTTAGGTTGCTGGCACGGGGAAATTTGAGTCGTTAATCGTGGCCGCTCAGGAAATTGCCGCTTCAACGGCGCAACTTTTTGTTTCAAGCCGAGTAAAAGCAGACCGTGATTCAAACAGGTTTGCTGGGGAATGTCTTTTGGACGAAGATTTTATTAGGCTAAGTGCGTTGTCGGTGGCATCAAGGAATGTTAATCAATCAACGGCGCAGGTTGTTGCGAGTGTGAAAAACGCTCAAGCTACTCTTAACGACAAAGGTAATACGGTTTCGCAGTTTGAACAATTAACTAAATACCAGCGATATAAACTTTTGTTTAGATGTTCTTGATTTCTCCCACCTTTCTCTTCATGAAGCAAAGAAAGAAGAGATGGAATCACAAGTAAAATTCTACTACATATATGGTTATATAAAGTCAAATTTAGGTGAAAATGCTTGAACTGGAGCAAGAATTAACGCGAGAAAGGGCACGCTTGGCTGAGCTTCGAAAAGCCCACTATCACATGGCTCAAATTGTCGCTACAAACAAAAGTTGATGGATTGCGATGCGAAACATTAAATTTGCCATTTTTAAATTAAATGTCAATCTCAATCTCAAGCCATGCACCTATGCTTTATTTAATCTTTTTATCATGCAGTGTCTTTTAGTATCTCAAGCTTCTAGTGCTCATTGTGCTACCGTAATACCTGTGATAGAGGAGTCCCCCTCTAGTAGAAGAATAGAAGAGAGTACGTAGCAAACGTAGTCTGCGAAAGAGGGGGTGATTCTTCTAATACAGGTATTAGGTATCATTTTTTTGCAATCTCGTAAATTTTCGATTTCGACTAAAGCAGGATCTGATATTACAAACAAACTTCTCTTTAAAGCTATTATCGTTTTCAGTTCTGTGATTTTGTTTTCCTCCTTCTTATCTAAGAGAAGTGGCAGCCGCTCGAGTCTTGTGAATAGTCCAAAGCAGAAAAGGAAACAAAGACCCTGTCAAAAAATTTTTCCAAAAATTGTCAAATTAGCTTTATCTAGTTAGTTATTGTTCTGACCCTATGTGATAATAGCTATGCAATCTTGTGTGATATAGGACGGATTGTGAATGCTTTAATTTACTACTTTGTTTAAAATAAATATTGATTGATTGATTTCCGTCTGTTTATCGTATTGGTTGGTTATCCAAATCATATTTCCAGTCTACTTTCAACGAGATTGATATGTGAACGGCTTGTGGTGCGACCTCGACAATGATTCATCCCTGTTCATACGATGACCGTATAGTCTAATTTTTCTACCTACAACATATAAATTTATGTCAAACTCTGTTTCTAATATGATTGTATTTAAAGGCTTATTTTCAGGGACGTTTGCAATCATAATGGATAACTCAGGGGAAAACCAACCACTTCTGGTCGCTGGTGGTAAGTAATATAAACACATTGGAAATTGGATATATGTGTAGAGATTTACTTTTATACTAATGTAGATGTTTATATGGTATTTTTTAGTCATTTTTGGCTTTACTGTATTTTGTAAACCATTCAGACATTGAATTGAACGTACCATAGTGCCAAAATGCGAGCAAAAACTTATCAAAGTTGATTTTTAGTTAACAATGATGCAATGTATGGGGATGGCGCAGAACTTTTTGGAGCATTCACAAGGTTATGATGAAGAAAGTGCTCCTGTGAGACCTTCAGGTAATTTTAGAAACATTTTAAATCCTTTTTTTGTTTTAGGAGCTACAGTAACCTGTCGCGTCTGTGACGCCGGAATTGATCTTGAAGGGAAACATAATCAACATGTCGTGAAGTGCACTCATTGTCAAGAGGCAACGCCCATTCGTCCTGCACCACCAGGCAAAAAGTAAATTTTTTGGTTGTAATAATTTATTTTGAAACTAAGAGAAGGAATTTGTCGGTTGAGCATTAGAATTTAGAGTTAATAACTTTTTAAGATATGTCCGTTGCCCCTGCAATTGTTTGCTGATTTGCAAAGCTTCATCAACGAGAATCGCTTGTCCACGACAGAATTGTCGGTGAGTTGATACTCATTTTTAGTAGGGAAATGCTCTTATTAGGCGAGTCATCACGCTTGCCAATGCTACTCCAACTGGAATGGCTACCAGGGCTCCAGCAGGATCTTGTCGCGTAACCTGTGCGCATTGTCAAGAGGTAATTTTTTGTGTCAGTAAATCAGTTTTTTAATGTCAGCAGTCTTATAATATTTTTGCAGGTATTCTTGTTCAATACCCTCAACAATTCGCTAGCCACTTGTCCTCATTGTAAGAAGAGTTCCTCGGTCGGTGCAGCCTTTGCACGAACGCGTGCCATTTTTTATCTCGTCTTTGCTTTACTAGCACTGATCGGATGCGTTCTTCTCACTGTATTTACATCGGAGAAGGTATCAATAATATTTAATAAAAACAAATTGGATTTTAGGCGCACCAATGGGTCTTCCTCTATGCTTTTTGGCTGGTCAGTTATGTTGGAGCTGGATATCTTTTTTACAGGTGATTCACTTTTTTTACTGATATCAAATCTACATGTCCCTCTGTACCAAGTCATCTGAATTTTAGATTCATGTTCTATCTTCTAGTGAAGGTCAGTACAGTCGTCGGGCCCGTTTAAACCAAATGAGTCTATCCATAAAAAATATTTCTTGCCTCAGTGTTTCGTACAGTTTGCAAACTTTATTCCTGATTTGGGCTTATACTTTTAGTTTCTTAGGTGCTCTCTCACTGTTTCACATACACTTCATTCCACGTTTTTCTCAAAATTTCTCATACCGTGAATGCTTAATGGAACGCCAGCCACCACAATGACACGTGATTTGTGCTGCTTTCAGATATCATGATGACTTTAAATCTCCAGTATTGTAAAAAAAATGAAATTTATTAGAAAATTTTTTGTATCAGTGCGAGAAACAGGTATATTACTTTTGTAGACAATCAAGATCACGTGATACCGGAGGCAAGGCGTTCGCTTTGAGTACATATTAACGGTGATGGTTTACTTTTCTTGTGTTTTTCATTTGTACAATCAACTCCCAATGTATAACGTTGCCCTTTCTGATTGAAGCCAAATTGAAAGTTGTTATAACTTGCTTTAGAGGGTTGGTAAGATTATTACGAGTTGTGCTAAGTTTAAATTTACTTCTTCTCAATTTGCAAATGTTGAATAAGTGTTTATGATCGGAACTATCCCGGTTTGTGCCTTGCAAAATTTCGTTTTGATTGAATTGTCAATAAATTATATTTAATTACAGTTGAAAATGATTCATTTACAGTGTTGAAACACTTCGACAGTATTCATGCATTTATAGAAGTTATATGCAAAATAAGTTTCAGATTATAAATATGGTTTGCATCTTGGGTATTGAAGGTTCTGCCAACAAAGTTGGGGTAGGGTTCATACTGGAGCTTTTTATTTTTATTTTGAAGGTTGGTATCATTCGGGATGGAGAAGTTCTTGCAAATCCCCGTGAAACATTTATTGCGCCACTCGGAGAAGGTTAAAGCTGTTTATAGTCTATGATTTATCTTTACTCCTAGGATTTCGCCCGAGCGAAACAGCCCAGCATCATCGGCAAAAAATAGTTCAACTAGTGATTAAAGCTCTACACGAAGCAGGAATTCAAGTATAGTTTTTGTTCTAATTAAATCATTATAATTTTATTATTTTGCTTTTTTTCCCACAGAATATATTGTACACAGGCCCGTACCCAGAGGGGGGGACACACACAAGGGGCATTTGCCCCACCCCTTTCCGAAACTTTTTCTGGATACGGCCTGATTGTACATATTGTTTCTTTCTTAGGACCCGGAAAAAATGTTAGATGGTATTGCTCATACAAAAGGGCCTGGAATGAATGCACCTCTACAAGTTGGTTTGACATTAATCAATATAATGCAATAATTGTTTGTGACCTTTTAGATAAAGAAACGTAAAGTTTAGGTTTGCGCTGTAGTTGCTCGAACTATTGCACTTTCTTGGAATTTGCCTATTATTCCAGTCAATCATTGTATTGGTCATATTGAAATGGGTCGGCTTATTACGGGTGCAGACAACCCAGTTGTGCTTTATGTATCGGGTGGAAATACGCAGGTGTTTAAAGTTTTTTTACTTAATTAAAAATGATTAAAGCTGTGTGATTCTTACCGCTAACTGCCTTTGAACAGTAAATTCAAGTAAACAATAAAAAATGAAAATGAACTTATCCTTTTTCTCATTCTGCTCCTATACAATTAAAAGTATGAGCTTAGTAATACAAAATTCGGTACTAGCCTAGTTGGGGAGGGGGCACTATTTTTTCTCCAAAATCACTTTTTTAGGGTAATTTTATGTGTAGATTCCGAAAAACACAACGAGAGCTTGGGGAAAGGCGTTTTAAGCCGAGTTTTTGGGGCTCCAAAGTGCGCGCTTTTATAGTGTACTTCACTAAATGGAGCCCAAGCTATTGACTATTGAGGCACTTTTCAAGGTCAAAACTAGAGCCAAAATCATTTATAACCAATAAATATTCTTTTCTAACTTAAATTGACTGGTAGACAAGTTGAAAAAATATTTTTTGAGATTTTGACCGATTTTGGAAAAAAATATTAAAAAAAAAAAAATTTTACTCCAATTTGATCAGAAACGTAATCAGTAGGTTCAATTACGCCAGAAGAAGTGTTTTTGGCTTCAAAAATGTTTTGAGAGGCCATTTTTTAGACCTTTTCCTTATGTGTATCCCACTCATCATCACACTGTATGATCGCGCACTTTGGAGCCTCGAAACTCGGCTTAAAACGCATTTTCCCAAGCGCTCGTTGTGTCTTTCGGAATCTACGCATAAAACTACCCTAGAAAAAGTGGTTTGGAAGGAAAAAAAAGTGCCCCCCCCCCAACTAGGCAAGTACCCAAAATTATCTTCATCTCCATGATTTTGTCTTTGCACATCAAAAATAAAATAATTGCTCCTTTCTTCATCCGGTCAATCGTTTGACGAAAAAGTTTCAAAAGCTAATTATTTAGGTGATTTCATATTCTGCTCAGAAATATCGCATTTTTGGTGAGACGATTGACCTGGCGGTCGGAAATTGTTTGGATAGATTTGCTCGAACCATTCGGCTTTCCAATGATCCTAGTCCTGGATATAATATTGAACAAGCTGCTAAAAAAGGTTTTTGAGTTTGTGATTATCAAACAATTATCAGATTTATCACAGGAAAAAAAATTCTTGCAAATTCCTTATACAATCAAGGGGATGGATGTCTCTTTTTCCGGAATTCTTGCTTTTATCGAATCTAAAGGGCTTGAAGCATTACGAAATGGATTGTATACAAAAGAAGATTTATGTTTCTCTCTACAGGTAGAACTTAATTTTATATAATAACTAGAGTAATGGTTTAGGAAACAATTTTTTCAATGTTGATAGAGATCACCGAAAGGGCAATGGCACACACAGGAAGTAAAGAGTTGTTGCTTGTTGGTGGAGTTGCATGTAATTTACGGTTGCAGGTAATAAATTTATGTCATAAAAAATAAAAAGGGTTTAGGAAATGGCACGAATAATGTGTGAAGAGCGTAGAGCGAAGATTTTTGCAACTGATGAACGCTTTTGCATCGACAATGGGGCAATGATCGCACAGGCTGCGTATCTGATGTTCAACGCTGGATTACAATCAACGGTAAGTGTTTGATTTCTTTCATTGAGCAGACTCAGTAAAATTTGACTATATTTTCATTTTAGGTAGATAAGACGACTACCACACAACGATATCGAACAGATCAAGTGAATGTTGTTTGGAGATGAAACTTATATATAATTGTTTCGTTGTTATTTGTTGCTCTGTCGTTGTTATGTATTTGTTATTCCCAAAAATAAAAATTTTCTGAATAATGTTTGGCAGATTTTGCAAGCCTTCAAATATAGGTGAAATATTTTACATTTGCTGAATAACTTTTAATTTTAAAGCTTTTTTCCCTGGAAGTCGTTACGATTTAGTTTCTTAATCCGTCATTTTTATAAGCTACATTGATGCCGCAAACAAGTTCGCGAACCAGAATTACGAGGAAAGAAGTAGAAGCTGCCTTTGCAATGTGCAATCCTCAGAAGCCTGAAACAATCAACATACAAGATTTAAAGGTTACTGCTTATATAAAATAGCTAAAAACATGGCTACTAAAGATTTATTAAGTGATTTTACGTTTTCAAAGATTACAAATGTATTTTTATTTAGGTTATCATGAGAGCTCTTGGTTTCGATCCGCGGAATGAGGAGGTTGAACGGCTGACCAAAAAGGTGCAAAATACGATCAAACGCGTAAAAGGCGATAAAGGTAACATTTGTGATGTTTAAGTTTTTAATGTCTATATTATCTGATTCTAATGTAAATATATAGATGAAGCCTTACTTACTGTTGATCAGTTCCTCGATTTGATGAAGGAGCGCTTGGAATCCGACAAGGTTTTTGCATAAAGCTATTAGTAATGTTTTGTTTAGAGCACTGAAGAGATGAGATGCGCCTTCAAATTGTTCGATCGTGATGGCAAAGGATGGATTGATTTGGAGGATTTAAAACGAGTAAGTAATTGCATCTTTATAAGAAGTTTGAATTTTTATTCATATGCTTTACTCAACTTTTTCATTTCTTTTTAGGTATCTAATGAACTTGGGGAAGATATCAAACAGAATGATCTCATCGAAATGCTAAAAGAAGCAGAGGCAGATCCCGGACAAAAGGTTGGGCTCATATTTTTATATTTCCTGATTAACCGTCAAATATACCGAATATTCAAATGACCGTTACTCTAGGGGAGGGTGGACGAAGAAGCATTTTTCCGAATTATGAAAAGGACATGCCTATATTAATATCTTAAAGACAGCAAATCCTTAATTTTGTTTTTTTACTGCTTCCTTGGTTACCGTTTCTTTCTTTGATACCTATCCTAGGCAATTTGCATGAGTTTTCTTATTTGTTGAAAAATTTCTATGCGTTGATCTCGCGCCTTTTTGTGATCTCTCCTATCTTGTCGGCTAAATTTATGTTAATAAATCTGAATAAATAAATGCATACGTAACGAAAGTGAAAATCGCTATATGGAATTTAGCCATTGTATTGAAAATGAAAAAATCTTTACTCTCAAAATTTTTAAGTGATGTTTTCAACTCTGGTGGATTTTTTTCGAGAGCAGATATTCACGTTAAAAGAAGGCAGTTATCCGTTTTGGCTTATGTAAGCAGTTCGATCAAAAATTTGAATGAAAAGTTTTCAAGGTATCGTGGATATGTGAGTCCATTAGGATCCCTTTTACACGCAAGGATGCTTCGAAAAGCAAAAGAACAATTTCCGAAAGGACATCGGAAACTGACTACAACAACATATTCCGGTACAAAAGTTAGTAATTCAAAAATATTGCTTGGTTTTAAAGGTGTCGTTGTCACAATCGTCAGCTTTGCATACGACAATTACGCATATATTGTGCGCAAAAATATGGACGTCAACCAGTGTTTGGTAACATAAATGGAACGTTTTCTTAGAAAAAGTAAATATATTAAAGATTGTTGATTGTGGTGATGGAGAGATTATAATCGATATATTGAAAGAATTTCAATGGGATCCTATCGCTGTTCTCACAACTCACAAACACTGGTAAGTCATTAAAGGGGAAAATTTATGAAAAATGCTTATTCAGGGACCATTGTTATGGTAATGCGGCCCTTAAAGTTGCTTATCCGAATGCTTGCTTTATTGGTGGAAAAGTTGATCGACCCAGCATTTGTACAAGGTTTCCAAAAGACACATATTAGAGCCATGTATAAGTTCTGACTTACAACTAGTAAGCGATCACAAAGTAATCAGAAACACTTAATAGTAGACATTGCGCAATAACTTTGCGATAACGCTTATCTATTTCAGGTTAGTAAGCGACGGAGAAGAACTCGATCTAGCCGGTATCCTTATTAAAGTTCACGAGGTATTCGGACATACTTTGGGACATGTTGTTTATGAGGTGAAGATCATCAAAAATATCAACACTATTTATTAGTATAGATTAATCAAGCAACCACTTCTACTGATCCACCGATTATTTTTACAGGGGATACAATCTTTGTTGCTGGAATAGGTATAGTCACTGTCATGATTAATGATTTCATCAAGTTGATGAAACGCCAAATTAAATGATTATTATGACTTCAGGTAAAACTTTTGAAGGCACCAATGAACAAATGGTTGCCTCTCTCGATCAATTTAAAAACAAGTTATATTCTAAAAAACAATGAAAATAAATAAATTCTATATAGATTTTGCCTTGGTACGATCCTTTTTTCCTGGTCATGAATATGCACGAGATGGACTTGGAATGGCCAATTACGTATGTTATCAAAAGAATAACACAAAAATCAATCATTAATTCAGTTAAATCCAAATGATGACACGGTTTATAAAGCTTTTCAAAAAGTCGATGCCGAATATTTGCAAAGAATACCATCGGTAAGTGGCAGTAAAAAATGATAAAAAAACAAAAAATGACAGGTTCCGACAACTCTTGGCGATGAATTTACGTGGAATCCTTTTCTTCGAACATCTCAACTAACTGATGGAGGTTCAATTAAAATGAGAGCTGAGAAATTGAGTGAACTACGGAAAATCAAAGAAGCTTATATGGAAAATCGAAGGACTTTTGACGAAGAAGCTACTGAAAAAAGACGGGAAAACATTGATATCAAGGGTTGATCTAAAATTCGAAAAACAAGACTCTCAATGTAATGTAGAAAAAGTATTTGAAGAAAACAATCTAGAAAATGCTTTCGCTTATCATTAATGTAAAGCATTTTCAAAACTTATCTCGTTTTTTGAAGGTTGTTCTTGAACTAATTGATTATCGACGGTCACTTCTCAATTTGTTTTTCAATATAACCAATTTGAGCTTACAATCTGTTGTTGTTTACAATTTTGAGTACTTATCATTAACACTACAATAAATGAAATCATTTCAACAATAAAATACAACCAAACGGAGAAATTGTCTCAATTCGTTTAGAAATTTGACTTAATCATATAATAGAGCGATTTTGGTTTAAAGAAAGCCAGAAAGAAACTTTATTGGTCTAAACGAGCTCAAAGAGCTTGAGTGATTTACTGAACTCTCTCATTTCTGACAGCTGATGCTCAGCACTCGTCCTTTTTCTTGATCTCTATGATACTATTGTTTTGTTATCAGTTAACCCAAATTAAATTCACTTCTCTAAAATTAAATATTAGAGAGCTTGCAAAGGGTGAGTTTGAAGAGTCAGGACGAGGTTGAACATAAATTTAAGACTACCGTACTTGACGAGAAAAACGCCACGAAGCGACCTCACACAAGGAGAGACACGAACGTCCCTTCTCTCCGGAAATTAATAATAAATGGGACCGATTTTGGGGAAAAGAAGGCAAAGGGTAACCCCATTGGGGAGTCTATTGGAGATGGAGATGGGATGGAGAGGGAAGAGGACAAGAAGAGGGGAAAGGAGGGGAGAACAGAGCCTTCGAGGGGGGTACCGTACGATTTATGTCTTCTTTTCTCTCCACAAAATTTTATCTTTCGATTGAGCTTTTCATTCATTCAGCCCATCGATTGAATGAAAACCTTGAACCAAAAACGATCGTAATCCCAATGTTTCCGTGATCTAAATCAGAAAAGCGACAAGCATGGCTTTTCATCGCTAAACCCTCTGCTCTTTCTCAGTTCTCTTCCAGCCATGATACGATATTCGCACTCTTCACTACCAGCCATGATATGGTAGTGAAGAGGTTGAATATCGATTACTCTTGTAAAATTGATGAAGATCAAACTGATATGGATAAATATTGAAATACCAATGTCTTGAGCATTCACCATTGGACACTTTACGGTCAATGAAATAAATTTAGAGATTGTTGTGTCGAATGAATGTAGAGAGTAGTTGATGGGAATGAGAAAAGAAGAGGGATAAACTGTGCAATGAGGCCATAAAGAGCCAATAAATTTGTTGGAATGAGCCATCTCGGACCCCTCGGGCACCCCATTCGCCCACTCGACTCTCCGCTCCTCATCCTCCTCTCCCCTCTCCTCCTCTCCTCCTCTCCTCATCCTCCTCCATTTAACTCCTTTCAAATTATTGTCAATTCTCTCATTAACACTCTTTTATCATTTCCTATTACCCCAATTTGACGATTATAATAAACAGTTCAAAACAAAAGTCATAAGCAAAAGTTTTCTCGTTTATTCAAGGATTTTTTGGTTACAATGATATTTGACTCAAAAATATACCGAATCACCAAATCTATCTCATATCTCTCCACTACTGTTTAAGCTCGAGTTTGTCTACTTTATTTCATTTTAAGCCAACCCTAACTATAAGTATAGTTCACCCGTCAACCTTAGTTTAAAGCAACAAAAATCCATGTAGAACAAGTCATCCATGGGTAAGGGTGGACAATTTGCCCTTCTTTACCATCTCACGAAGCATTGCGCAATATATTAGTTTGGGAAGAAAGGTCTCGGAAAAAGTTTGCACGGTGATTTCTCAAAAACCAAGCCATCAATTCTTCCCAGATCTTTTGATAAACTTGACTATATTTCAAAAAGTTTTTGACAAAAAAATCAGAGATTTCTTCAGCTGAAGTGACTCGGTCACTTTTTGAGTGATCGGTCTTTAGACAAGTTTTTAATGGGTTAATGGATAGGCAATGGGCCTCATTTAAAACCTAAAATCAATTACTTAAAATAGGGAAAATTTGTGATTAAGACAAATTTTACTTAATGCTTTAACTTTTCAGAATCACCTATTTTAGCAAACACTCAGTGCCAAGAAGAAGAATGAAATCAAAAAAAAATATTTTTTGAAATGCAGCTTCTGTAAAAATTTTTTGGCTAGAAGTAGAGATTATAGAGCGTATTGCTGATTTATGCTAGCTTGACCTCATAAGGAGTCGTTTTTCTGGTGCAAAAAGTGAGCTGAATTTAAGCTGGAAAATAATAATTTATAAAAAGCCTCTAAATTTTAAGGGAAAACTGCACTCATTTTTTACGAGTAATTTCTTGGAGTCGACTTGTAAATAATAGAACAAATTTTTTAAAAATGTTCTTGGATTGGTGGATTCGTTTTTAAGAAATTCCAGTCAAACTTTTTCCGAGAACTTTCTTTTCAACCTAATAGTATTCATTTAGTTAAAAGAGAGATCCGAATTGAGACCGATTCTCATTAGAACCTAATTGTTGTAGAAATGATTAAAGTGAATCGGTTTATCAATCATTTATCAGGTATCCGGATTAAGGACGAAATCCATAGTGAAATCCAAATTGTATAATAAATCCTTCCTGGATCTCACGTTTACTTTTTTTATTGTAGCTGTCACGTTGATCTCTTCGTTTTTGCAAGATTGTGGTGAAAAGCGAGTTTGCATGAGTGGAAAAGACAATGTGAGAAGGGAATCCTAAAAGTTTTATGGGTCTTTATGCAAATCCTCATCGCAAGCTGTTTCATCCCATATGATCATCATCACAAACAATTTTAGATTTTATCGTATTCATATTGATTTGAAATCGCAAATAACGATATGGGGAAAGGTTTAGTTCAAATGAAATTCTAAACTTTTTGGTGTCGGAGCGAGTTTTGAGTTTCGCTGTCGTATTTTGGTTTGAAATTTTTGAGAAAATCTCTTTTTGCTGAAGTGACTTAGACTGAATTGAATAGTGCAATCTTTGACATAAAAAAAAGATAAACAAAATAGAAATCGATGAATTGAAAGGGAATGGGTGGGTGGAGATAGGGAAACTGCGGGAGCGAATGACCGAACAGAAGGAGACCTCGTAAATCGGTAGGCCGCCCATTCATTAGTGCATCATAAAATGTTTTATAATCGATCACTGCATACATTTTCTTTTAGTCTTTATAAAACTTGCTAGTAAAATACTCGAAAAGTTTTTCTTCCGCAGTTTCAATGAGTTTCAGCTGATTCTTCGACTTGGACATCAATTTCTCTTCCAGTCTTGTAATTTTGTAGAATTATTTTGTGAAAATCTTAGCAACCTTGTAATTTCTAGTATCAAGAAATTCGGATGTTAAAAGACTTAACAAATATTGAGGCACATCTGACTGCTAATCAAGCACTGTGTCAAGCGTATTCTTTTTGTTTGAATTCATTTCAAAGTCAGATTAAAATCCATTCTTAACTACTTGAAAATTAAAAAAATGACATGTCTGACACAGTGTTTCGAGAATTAAATTAGAAACTTGATGTTGAGTTTTGTCTTCAATCTTTACGTATAAAAAACTTCTACCTTTTCTCTTGTCACAATACTTCTTAAGGTTACTGTAGATTGTGATTACGGTAGTGTTCTGGTGGAATCAAGCTTACAATGATATGGTTCAGCTTGAAGAGCTAAATGATAGTTTTGTGATTGAATGCTAAATGATTGTGAATACTTTTATTCAAAAATGCTGTGAATGCTTTCCTTTCGAGGTATTTTTCATCGATTTTTTTAAAAGTTTCTTTACATTTGATTTGATCATCACGATGAAATCAAATATAAAGAAATCACAGAAATCAAAACATCATCACGATGATTTGAAATTGAATACGGTCCAAAAGGTAACCAACCCTTTATGAGAGTTATGACAAGAGAGTGCACATGGTGACATAGGGTAATTGAAAAGAAAAAAAAAGAGACTTTCATTGAAGGCGGTCTCTTTCATCCATCGAAAACATATTTCTGAAATCTCTATGATCCTTCCGAAATACAAAATAGGAAACTATTTGAATTTACCTCATTTTGATTTTGTGCACTTTAAATTGAATTGTTTTTCATTCGTTTGAATATTTCATGTTGATTCAAGAGCTTATTTTCGTCATATGCTAGATGAGAAATTGCGTCTGTAACTCAACAATTCGTTCTTCTCGTAGAACTTTGTTTTTTGGCAATAAGAACTCGATAATTAGTTTGCGATGCACATTGTTGATGCTTGTCAAGTTCGATAGTTGTCCTACTACAAGATATTTATTAATCATGAGGTACTCCAATTTACGATAGTATCTACCCATAGTGTTGTAATTGAGAAGGATGATGCTCAGAGAAAACGGATATAATCATTGATAGGAAGGGAACCTATCATGCCATGAGATCTTTTCTAACTACAGTAGTCAATGGAGTGCAGCTAGTGGAAGGGGGAAATGGGGGAAGCCTTTGATCGAAGCGCTCGGCAAGGAGTGGACGCAAATATTTCACCGGTTTCGAAGGGGAACAGACACGATGCCTTTCCAATGGGGATTCTCTCATCTTTTTTTTAAAAAAAGAAAAGAGAATAGAGGATTGCAGTGAAAATGAATGGAAGTGAAGTAGAAGTGAAATAGAGAAATAGGGGGAAGTCCATTCATCGCTCAATTCAATGGACACCAATAAAATGTCGAAAATTTGCGAAGCGCACAGGAGAAGAGCGCTAGCCGTTGAATACACAGATGGTGGCCGATAATAGAAGAATGGTAATCCGCTAAAATGACCTTTCATTCAACAACACACTTACAGTAGACCACTTTCTTTCCTTTAGATTTTCATTGATGCAGTCGATATCAAGTCGAGTTTGAGATCAACAAATGGGCCAAAGAAAGGTTTAACATATTATTACATATTATTAAATTAAATGAAGTGCAACAAAGCTTTCTGGCTTCCTAGAAGCTTTTCAGACTGAAGCTGTCCTTTATACGTGCCC